CTTCATACCATCGCAAAGCAAAATATATAAACTCAATTGATCGCATATCAGGGACTTAAAATCCATAATTATAATGAAGTATGTGGTCAACATTTTTTATTTTCAAATTTCAATAATAGCATGTTGTGTTCCATGTGTCAGGTTTTGATGGTCCACCGCTCTTGTGGGAGAGTTCCTGTAGAGCTCACCAATTAAACTTATTCCAGGTTCTTCCCAAAGAATTGGATGAGACAAGCCAAAATTGGTGCAAAAAGTTGATATGAAAAGTGAAATGAAGGGATGAGGAAAAACCTAGCTCTATAGATCAAACCTGGGCTGAACAAATAGAGGAAAGGTCAGAAACAGAAATAGAAGTGCACTTTGCATCGAGGAGACACAGAATGCACTAGGCAAGGAGTCACTTCACGCTGCACAGATCCTCCTGGAGCCCTGGGGAGTCCCACATCCGGGTCCTGAGAATTATGTGGCACTGTCCTTAGACCATGTTACTGACAGGTCCTGCTCATTTCCGCAGCCAGCTTTGACATGCTCTGCAGCCTGTACCACCTATGCACAGAACATATCTGTGTGTGTGTGTGTGTGTGTGTGTGCGTGTGTGTGAATTGGGTTCCGTCCCTCTGCTAAACACTGCAGTTCTGTGAATCTGCCTGGTTGGATCTGGTACCCTCTGGCTTTGATCACTTTATTTATTGTTGTTTTGAGTTCTCCAGTCAAAAAAAATACTAGTTTTTATCTTGTGAAGTGTAGATCCCACGCACAGTGTCGGTAGCAACAAGGACGAGCTGAGTTGAGGAAATTTGCCCTGAATTACTTCAGCTCATGACTGCAAGGGTCCTGTTTACCCTGCCTAAGTATTGAGTAAATATGGCATGTTTGTCATGTTTCAAAATAATTTTCATTTTCAAGTTTTAAGTGGACATTCTCGGAATTTTGCCTAATGGAATTAGAATAATGGCTGCAATAAATTCCGGAGACCTGATAAGACTTATTGTCATTGTCTGATTCATAACTTTCACATTTTACAATCAGTGGTGACTCAAGCGATTAAACTGTACTTTTGGTCAAATTAGGACACTCATCTTTTTAATAGCTTTGTTTTGTGTCCTTTGCTTTCATGGGCTAGATTTATGAGGCTTAAAAGCTACTTGGCTGTACTCTAAGTCTAATTGCAGTTTTCTGTCTCCGCACACTGAAACATGTCCAAATTTAAACCTAGACAGTGAACAAGGTAGATCTGTGACGACACCGTGGTGCGGCAGCCTCCAGCTCGCCCTGTTCTGTTGCTTCTCGGCACAGTATTTGTAATACTGGGAGTCCTCCTGGCCTCGTCCACACATCTACAGATTCAGAACCTGGCCCTTTGTGAGTCCCCGTTAAAGAGACATCCCTTCGCTGCATGTGCTCCTTCACGGGGTACGACAGAAAATGGAAGTGTGCTGCGAGGTGATCGAGCTTGAAATATTTTTATCGGAATTTTGCCGATCATGTGACCACTTACCCTTCCCACGTCTGTTTCTGAAACGCTGATGCGGAATTTCGCAGTCCAGCCGTTTGCTCCACACCCTCCTTCTTCAGTCCTCAGCGTGGTTCTCTGCCTCATGCGTCCCTTCCTGGGTGTCAGAGCCCACGTCACGTAGATGCCCCTAGATGACGGCCTGTGAGCTTTCAGACTCAGCCCGGTGTGCCTGTCACCGTGATGCAGTAAACGGCCGCTTCACCTCTTCCAGATTTCCTGTGCCAGATCTTCGAAAGAAGCCCCTTCCGTATATATCTACAAAGAATGATGCACACCTCTATGTTCGCACACCGAGCTCCTTTCTGCTTTATATTCATTACCAGACACAGCCCTGCCTCAAGCTCATAGCGCTGTCTTCACATTTTGAGGGCACAGTCAGGAAGTGCAGGCAGCCCCCCTTTCATTCAGTGGGCTTTCTTCACAGTGTCACCTCCTGTCCCCCAGACCCAGAGCGTTGCCCCTTGCACCTCCCGTGGTGCAGGCTGGGCTCTTCCTCACTCCTGTCTCTGTCCGTGTGGATCTGCCTGGGGCACAGTTCCCTGCACAAAGCTCTCACCCATTCCCCAGAAGCAAGGGGCAGCTGCAGCCCAAATCTTGATGGGATTTCACCCTGCCACCTCTCACCTGCTCCTCAGGTCACTTTCTGCGCATGCTGCCCCTTTAGCACCAGCCTGGTGACCCTGGCAGGGTGGCAGAGGCAGGCCGTGCTGTGCAGGGGTGGCTGGGACAGGTCGGTGGCTCTTCATGGAGAAGTGTGACAGGTGGAGAGCACACAGCCTCCTGCTCCCTCTCTCTGCGTGTCACTGTTTGATGCCAGGTTAAGCACTGTGCAAAGACACATAGCCTCTATGGTCTTCCTTGCTAACATCTGGGGGACACATGGTGACTGCAGAAGGGAGAAAGGATGTGCATCTTTTACACTTAAATACCACTCTCTCTTCTAGTTCTGGTTCTTCCAGAGTCCCCCTGTTATGTACTGGCCAAAATGACTTTTAAATTTTTCATTCCAACAGTGTAACCCCCATAGAGACAGACATAAATGCAATTTTTTTAGACTATGAATTGTTTAAATGTATCTGGGGGACACATGGTGACTGCAGAAGGGAGAAAGGATGTGCATCTTTTACACTTAAATACCACAGTCTCTTCTAGTTCTGGTTCTTCCAGAGTCCCCCTGTTACGTACTGGCCAAAATGACTTTTAAATTTTTCATTCCAACAGTGTAACTCCCATAGAGACAGACATAAATGCAATTTTTTTAGACTATGAATTGGATTTAAATGTATAATTTAAGGAAGGAGAGAATGAAAGTAAATGAGTATGTAATATTGCATATAAATCAACATAGAATAGAGATGCGTCAAATTAGCAAAAACATAGTCTATTTTATGTATAAAAGGAGGAAGTTTAGGAACTGGGGTTTAGCGATGAATTATTTGTCTTTTTTTATATTTCCAAATGCTTCCCCCTTTACTGCGGGGCATTTCGTGGCAATGCTGTTTGATCCCTGCCCTGCCTATGGTGTGCGTCGTTTCCCAGTCATGATGATGGGAGTCCTTAGGAGCCAGACTTCAGCATTTCCGGCTGTAGTTAGAAACTTTGGCCCCAGCGTAGTTAAGTGCATTTTTTTCAGAGTGAATGAAAATCTAAGTGATGTACAGTGGACAATCTTGCTGATCTATAACAGAGAAAAGGATGAAGGCCTACGTAGTTGTAATCCGTATCCTGATGTTAAAGTAGAGATGTTAGGGTTATATTAACACAACAAGTTGCAGGCCTCTGCGATTGTAGTCCTTTGTGTTTAGCAGTTCTATTGTCTATGAAGAGCCCCCAAATGGCATGGAAATCTGTGCTAGGAATAAAACATATTGCTGCTTAATGTTAATGGTGTTTCCTCCTCCACAAAATACATCCATTCAGGGAGAAATCTCTTTCAGCTTAAAACGTCTTTAACACACAGCTCCACTACTCGCCACATAGATTTCCCACATCCCAGGTCTTATAGTCACTTGGCCTTGCCTCTTAGGGGCCATGGTCAGAAGCCTGGTGTTATTAAGGGGCAGCCGCACTTGTGTGGACAGAGGTGTCGAGCTCTGCGCTTGTACCTCGGGAGGGCAAGGCCGGGCCTGTGGGTGGATGTGGGAAGGGAGCAACATTCAGGCTCCCATCTGGAGTGGAGGTGACTGGCCATTCTCAGTCAGCACCCTTTCCTTGAGAGTAGGGTGCAGGGTGCCAAGGTGTGAGTTTCTTAGGGACAGAGCTGTGTGCCTCCTCCCACACCTCCCAAAGCTCTGTGTCCAGACTCTGAGCATGGGCAGCAGTGTGTGGAGTTAGCCTGGGTCCAGCCTGTAGCTGCTGTCTGGAATCTCAGCCAGGAACCTGTGTCATTCTGTGGTCAGGACTTAAGAGGATGTACCTGGCCCCTGTCTGCACCGAGTGGATGCTCAGCAGGGAACAGGTCCCCTGTGCTCTCACTGCCCCTCATTTCCCAGTGGAACTAGGCTCTGAATTGCAGAAAGCCACTCCCCCACCCAGGCCAGCAGTGGATCTGAGGGACCCAGGGGTGTCCCTGTCAAGTATGGGAACTGAAGCTCAAATCCCAGGTCAGGTACCGAGGGTAGCTGCCTCCTCTGGAACAGCCCTTCCTCCCAGCCTCCCTGAAAGAGACCTTAAGCTACCAGCAGTACTCTGGCAGCACATACACATTTTCACGTCCTTCACCCTCAAAATTCCCCATCTTGTGACTGAAAGTTTGTCTTGTTTGACCAAATTGCATTTTCTACCTCCAGAATGACTCCAAAGTTGCTCAGTGTTTATTCTCATGATGAGAGATTATACAGAGATATCAGTGTTAAATAATGCTTAATGCATTTTCTATTTTAGTCTGATCCCACATTACATGATTCATCTTCTTTTGAATCTCTGGATTCCTTAAATGAAAGAGATTCTGGTCTAAGAAAGCTGGATAACAGCCATGAGGTTGTAAATACAGGTCCTGTTCACATGAGAACAGAATGCACAGGAGAAATGTTCGTTGTCTTTATGAGCCACAGATAGAGCTGAATTTGAAACACTTGCTCTTATACTGTCTCTTCTGAGAGGCACAAATCCAGAATTTGCACCCAGGCTTTCTCATCAAGACTCAGTGTGCACATGGATGGCAGGCAGGGGGTCTGTCATCAGGTTTCACAGAGAACAGGAAGCACTTTCTTCAGGTCATGCATATTAAAGCATGTGAATGTTAGAATTGGCCTCTCATACTGAATGTGAAAGTGACAAATATTAAAGAAAAACTCGGACGAGCTGCATGATGGAAATGGGTCAGGATGAGCTCCTAAGTCTGGCCTGAAGTCACCTAAACTCCTTTTGGTTGAAAAGGCAAACAACAGTAAAGCCTTTTTTCCTACAAGACAGCAGAAAACACTTCTGTTCCTGGTATCACAGGAAAGTGACCTAACCCTGGGTCTGTGCTTTGTCTCCCCAGCCGTAGGCCTGACTGCATGCCAAGAGCCAGCCCTGCCCAGCAACGGCATCAGAATCGGGGACCGCTACATGGTGAACGACGTGCTGTCCTTCCAGTGTGAGCCGGGCTACACCCTGCAGGTAAGCCTCTTTTCCACACTTTGTGGTGGAGCAGGTTCGCTGTGGTCGCCCTGGGCAGCACACTCAGAGCCCAGACCCACCTGGTTTTGCTCACTGTGTGTCCACACTGATAAACAGTGTGTGGTGATGATGATGCTCAGCCCTGGAATTAGCTTCTGACGGCAAAGTGCTCTGGCGGTGCCGAGCCTTCCGCTCTCTGGAGTTATTTGATTTCAAACACACACTCTTGCAATCACCACGCAGAGAAAATTCTAAGAAACTAAGAATTGTCGGAGCCTTTAGAATCCTACCCAGAACCCCTTTGTTGGACTTGCTTCTCTGTCATGAACTGTCCCTAAGACTCAGCTCAGTAAATCAGCAGTGTGCAGGTAAACAGGACATCAGACACTTAAATAATCTTCAAGAAATACGAAGCCAAATTGTGGCTTAAAACTTTACATATAATTTTAATATAAAACTATGTGAAGCTGTTAGCAACATTTTGTAAGCTAACAGCAACTCAGTAATTTTTCTATTATCTACTTTCTTTTTTAATCTTGTAAAACTTATGTTCAAAATGTCCACTATTCTGCATAATTTTATATAATTCACCCTGCTGACCATAAAAATTGACCATGTACACAGGTTCATTCCGAAGCCCAGGAGACACAGCTAAGCCTGTTGATGGTCTTCTTCAGATAATGCACATTACAGAGCTCTTCTGCTGCATGTTTATTATAACACTGAAACTGATCGTTTTTCCAGGACATACTTCACTGTTGTTCTATGCCTGACGTTAATAAAGCAGCCTGACAAATCACCAGGAGAGAGTTAGAACAGTACAGGAGTGACACAAAATTGCTACACAGAACCTTATTTCTGAGCACACACTGGGGTAGAGGTCTCGTGGACGATCGTGTAGCTGCGGCAGGAAGCCTGTACTGAGTGTGGCTCATGAGCTCCTTCCACACTGCACACAGTGTGGCGGCAATGACCACAAAGCACCTTGCTTGTGCCAGTAAATGGAACTAGCATCGCTGTTCGCACACCTAAGTCCACTTCCCACAGCCAGGCTACAGCTTCCGTTCCGTGGACTCTGCAGTGAGGAGGCTCCAGAGTGGACGCTGAAGAGGACTCTGCTGGGGAGGACCCGCCACCCCCAGCACTGGAGGGCTGTGTGGCCTGGCTGACATGTGACAGTGTAAAGTATCTCACGTCCCTTCTCGCCGGAGAGGCCCCTCGGTCCACACCAACAATTCGGTCTACACCTGGGCGCTGGGGCTGCATCACACCTGACTGACAGGATGGAGACGCCACGCCTTCCTGCTTTTCTCCCGTGTTTCCACACTTTCACGCTTGCTCCTGCTCACAGGTGTTCATCTCTCCCACTTGCTGAGGACCTGACCAAACAGCTTTGAACATAGAACTTGCAAGCTGTTGTGTCATTGACATTAACAAAAAATGGACTCTGGATTTTTTTTTAATTTCCAACACCATTTTATCAACACAGAGTTGGAGCATAGTTGGAGTGGCATGGAGTTACATAAATCTCAAATTTCTGAATGACATGTTTTCCAGCCTGTCCAGACATGCTTTAGTGACCTTTTAAAAGTTGAAAAAAGAAAATTTCCACTTGTGTAAAAAAAAAAAAAGTAAGTGAATACACAAGATCCTATCCTGGTTTTGATCCATTGCAAACATTTTACCTGGAATCATTCATCTGAAACATTTATACGAAAAGCAATAGCAGAATATAGCCTAGGTAGGTAATAAATGGCTATTTTATTGGTCACTTTCAATAAACATCTTTAAAAGCTTTTTCCCTGGAAGTTCATCTAATTTCAGGAAGAAATCTACTAAACATAATTTAAGGGGTCGCAGAATGAACAAGCATGAACAAGCGCAAACGTCAGCAGCAAGAACATTGTCCAGAATGTCTCCTTTAAAAATAAGTGTTATCTTTTTATTTTATTTATTTTATTTTGTTTCTTAAAATATCAGAAGATCTAAGAATTCTGTGGCAGGTTAACCAGGTAGGAGAACTCCCAGGCTTGGGGAGCCAGTTTGCTCTTGGCAGCTGCCCCACCACAGATGCTGCTGGCTAAGTTCCCAGTGTGGTTGGGTTTCTTCACTGTGAATTAAACATTTGTCCTTCAGACACCTCTGTGCCACCAGGAAATAAGAGGTTACAATGAGGAAAAACAATAGCACCCTGCAGTCCCTCCTGTCACATGCTGGGTGACAACAGACCAGAGGTGCACAGGAAACTTTCCCCAGCTTCCTCTGGGCTTTGAGAGGGGAAGACCAGAACAGACGTGCGAAGTCGAGAGTGGGCGCATCAGTTTAGAGGACGATGGAGGACCGACGTTCTAGCTGAACTGAGCTGTGGCCGGGCCCTAACCCAGCAGAGGTCCATCCCCGTCTGCAGTGCAGAGGAGCTCACTCCACTCTGGGCAGAACCACGTGGCCATGGGATGCGTGGCTCAGGGCGTCCACGTCCAGGATGCCACCCTTCCACATGCGCACAGGAGTGGCCTTTGCCCTTCGAACCCATGTCTGATATTCCCTAATCACGTTCAGCCTCTCAGACCAAAATCTGTAAAATCTGGTGATGAAACAAAAAGACACTGTGCCCAATTAAGTTAATCTTCTTTAAGTGTTGCAGGAAGAGCTCAACAGAAATGCTGCCTCTGTTGAAGGACATCACCAGATTTGGTTTTATTGAGAGAAGTGGAAGTGATTTTTGTGATTTCAATTTTTTGCGTTAGTAATTAAGGTTAAAAAGACCAAGAAAGCAATTTCATGTTGCTCACACACCTTCTGTCTTTGAGTCTTCCGCTCCATGACGTGAGTCTGTGTGCTGTTCTCTCCCCAGGGCCGTTCCCACATCTCCTGCATGCCCGGGACCGTGCGTCGCTGGAACTACCCGTCCCCACTCTGCATTGGTGAGCCTGGGCTGCTCTTCTGCCTTTCCATCATGCAGCTCTGCAGCTCTGGCCACACACGGCCTGCACAGTAACCACCCCCAGTTTGGGGGCACAGTGAGCCCTTGAGGGCCTCCGCACCCTGCAGGCAGCAGCCCGCCTCCCCAGGACCCACTGTTGCATGTAGAGGACACCAGGGTCCCAGCCCAGGACACCACACAGGCTGAACCTGCAGCAGGGAGCAGGGTCATTGCTCCCATGGGTATAGCTGTACCCCAGCCTCTCACACTCCTAGCTCAGGCTCTATAGCCTTCTGTGGGGTGCAGCCAGGTCCTTGGCCCTGTACCCACCAGGCAAGCACCAGCCCTTCCAGAACTTTGTAGAACTCCACAGAGAAGTTGCCTTTGAGGCTGGGGTATCAATGTCAGCTAGGTGATGTTGTCTGAGACTTCCCTGGAGCTGTGACTCATGAGGAGATGCTTTTCAAATTGTTTTAACTTGCTTTTTAAAAACTTGCACAAAGCCTAAAACCTAGTGTGCAATGTCTTGTGTTGAACAATTGCCATCTTGACTCAGTTTATAATTTACACATTTTCTCATACAGTGCTACCTTGGTTCTTAAACTTAATTCATTCCACAGTCTAGAAAATGACACACATGATCATGTTCACACTCCATTCAGAGTTCACACACACAAAAAGAAATTGTCGAATGCAAAAATTTGTTTGGGAACCAAATTTTTCACAAAGAAAAGCAGTCATGAAGTGAGGTAACAGTGTATTATAATTTCCTCAATGGATAAAGGTGTTCTATTTTAATGATTAATAAAGAGAACAAGGCTCTGCTGTATGCCTAAGAGGACTTCCGAAGGAGAGCATCCCCAAGGCGTTTTTGTACAGTGAGAACACTGTTAGGGTAACAAGGTTGATTCCATGGCCCTGAAAAATAGCATCACTTGTGTTATTTGAGATCTTTGAATCCGCCACTTACCTGGGTCACGGTAGTGAGGACTGGGGTGTCCTCTGCTCCGTCCTTCCTGGCACGTTTGTTATAGAGACATCTGTGTTTTTCACAGGCACACACTGCAGGCTGGGTGCCCCATGCATGAGCACGCAGGCTTACCACACACACCACATAGCCAGGGTCTCCTAGGGAGAAGCAGGAGCGGACAGCTGCATTTCTGCCCTGGGAAGGAAGCCAAGGTGCAAGATGCTGGCTGGCACTTGGGTTCTCAAGCCGCACAAAGCTGCAAGTCTGTGGTCCAGCTGTTTTCCAGGGGTCAGCGTGGGACACTTTCTGGGCAGTTCCTCATCTGTATCTCTCAGGGAGTGTGAAACACTGAGCCAAGGGGGTGTGCACAGAGGCTCATAGGCTGGGGTGACTTGGGGTCTGGCTAAGGTTCAGCTGCTCCATGAGCTGATGCTTCCTGCGGCACTCTGAGCACAGAAGACAGATTTTGACAAATGCTCTTTGCTCCTAGCAGCTTGGAGTGAGGTGGGCAAGCTGAGCCCACTTGTAACTAGCCAGCGGTCATGTAATGCAAGCGGTGGTGGGCTGCTTCTCGGTGGGTTCGGCTGGGCTGAGGTTGGGTGGAAGCTCTCAGGGAACGCAAGGCCTCGCCCACTCACGTGGCTATTATCCATTCACAGCCACCTGCGGAGGGACACTGACCAGCCCTGGGGGTGTGATCCTGAGCCCCGGCTTTCCTGGCTCCTATCCCAACAACCTGGACTGCACCTGGAAGATCTCACTGCCCATCGGTTACGGTGAGTGGGCAGGGCAGCTGTCTCAGGGAGAGGGACTCTGCTGCAAAATTGCACCATGGGTTTTACAGGGAGAGGCTTGCAGACTTTGGCAGAACTGGGCATAGAAACTTTCAGAGTGGAGTGATCTAAAACAGGAGTTCAGCATGTGCCTCTCTTCTGCGTCACGCAGGAGCCTTTGGAGGCGCAGAGCGGACGTGGTCTGGGACACGACGGTCAGTCTGCTGTCTGTCTGCAGTTCCTCCTCTCCCATCTCATTCTGGAGCAGGCAGCCTTATTGCCACTGTGGGCCAATTTTCAGGCTTTCTTCAGGTTGCCATGCATGGCAAAATGAATAGGAGGCTGCATTTGAAAAGATGATATCAGTTTACTAACTTTATCATGTTTCATTAGATGTGACTTTATTAAGGTTTGAAATATTCAGCTATTAATTTTCAGGTTATCTACTTTAAATAACTGAATCCTTGTCCCAGCACCTTCAGAAGCACTTGGTTCTGGTGGAATTTCCATTCCCCAGCGCACCTGCTCCTCGACCCCAGGGCCCCTCCTCTTCAGCGTGCTCATTTTCATTACTTTCCCGGGTTCCCTCTGGAGCCCACACGTGGGGAGGCCCTGTGGTCACTCGCCCAGCCCTGGGACAGAGTGACTAGGCGTTTACACACTCAGCGTGCCCATGGCAGCCCAGCAAGGGGCGCATGAAGGCCTCCATGGAAACCATTGCACAGGAGCAGAGATGGCAAACCTTTCAGAGGCCTTTTAGAGTCCCAAGCTGCAACCCAAAACCCACTTATTTATCATAAATTAAACCTGAATGCTGAGGTGGTAGCTCAGGAAAGACAACTCATACATTAATACTTTTTGTCTTAAAAGAAAAGCAACATCCGTTCTATAGGATCATCACCTTTGCCCTGGAAGATCGCATTGTATTATGTTTTCAGAGCTTTTGCCTTGAAATTTTCCTTTTATTTCATGAAAAAAATCCACAAAATTTTATAACAAAATAATAAAGAAATAGCAATAGCCCATACATTGTGCACTGCTATCTTCAAAGCAGGTGCTCAGAACACAAGACATAGACAAAAAGACTCTTACAAAGAACAGACAAACAGCTAATAAACAAGACTTCCTTTTCAATGAGCTAAGAGAAACTAGCAGTATAAATGAAACACTGTGGCATGGGTATTAAATATTCTGGAACAACAGAATTTCCTGTTTTTCACCCTGAGGTCCTGACTAAGGGGCCTCAGAAGCCACTCCCAGGGTTGCTGAAGGAATGGGCATAGCCATGACACAGTGGGGTCGGGACCTGACAGAACTTAGGGTCATTGCCACTGTTCCGGTTCTTTCCAGTTCTCCACGAGTACTGCAGTGCCTGAGAGGGCATCGCAGGCACCTTTCACTGGGCATGAGTTGTGGCCAAGGGCCCAGGCAGATCGGCCCTACACAGCCCTGGCCTTCTTTGAGTCCTGCCGAGGCCCCTTGAATATCTGTCACTGCACAACCTCAACCCCGCCTCACACACACTGAAAATAGTGTCATGGGGTTTCTCTCTGTGAGTTGCAAATACATTCTTACTGCTCATTCTTCAGTGTCACTTCTATCTGGAATCCCCCACCCCATCTGGCATGTACTCCTGTGTGCCTGGCTGTCAGCTTTAGACCCTTGTTCCCGGCCCAGGGCCACTGTATGTGGACCCTCGGTGCTTCAGCTCTGTTTACCCTGGGTGACACTATCGGTGGCCTTTCCTTGAAGAAAAATGAACTTGGTATTCTCCACTCATGATAGATTTAACTGGGTGTCTTAAATCTCTCTGTACAATGGGATCCTGTTGCCGTTGCCTGATAGATTCACAATCCATGAATTAAACCACTCCCAGCCTGGTCAAATAATCCTTTTCCTTAATCCTACCCAGTCACCCAACCCTGTGCCCAGCATAGTCAATAGTTCATTAAACAGCAAAGAAGGTCATGGCTTTGGTCAGCGAGAACACTGTCCTGCTGTTGAAATCACTCGGTCCGGGGCTCCCCTCGACCCCACTCCGTGGGACCATGTGGCCTGGGTCTGCACAGCAGTTGGCTCCCAGCCTTCCCACAGGGGAGCTGTGGCCAGGCAGGTCACAGTGGCCCCAGGGTTTTGGATTCTGGCTTTAGCTGAGCAGAAACCCTCACTCCATCCCCTACTGTGGCATAAACCGACAGAAGCCGCCAGGGCAGAAGTCACCAAGCCCTCTTCCCTGTCTTTGGAGAGAACAATACGGCATCTTGCAGGGTGCACGCAGGGCCCGAGGAGCAGGTGTCCGTGGGCTTAGCTGTCTCCAGCAGACGAACCCAAGTCCACAGTGCTTCCATGCTATTTTCTTGTCCTTCCACAGACTTAGGTTGCTATTGGGAGTTACTTTGGCCAAGCTGAGTCTCCTGAGAATTTTTGCATGTATTTTCTCAAAAATTATCTCAAGGCACAGTTAACAGAAATGCCACCAAGCTATTTTCCTCCTCCTGCTCCTCCTCCTCCTCCTCCTCCTCTTCCTCCTTACTTCTTTCATCTTAACTACCCCTACTAGGGATGCACAGAATGCCGCCCCACGTTATTATGCCTCTGGACCTTAGGGAAGAAATAAAAGGTTCCTTAGAATGTTTACTGGGGACAGAAGACATGAAGCTAGTCAGTCCATATTCATAGACTGTCTGGGAGGTGCGGTAACTGACGCCGGGAACCCCTTACTATCCAGGAAGCCCTGTGCGGGCGACTGTCTGCTCTGGGGTTTTCCACATGTCCACTGTACCCAGAGGGAAGTGTGCTGTGTAAATCTCACCAGAGATGCCCTTGAGATTGGCTCCCTTTAGTGATAAGTCTTCAAATATTCTGTGTGATAACAAAGGATAACCAGGTCACATTTATTCTAATCCCATCAATCCGGCGGCAGGATGTCACTCTGGACACTGTTTGCTGAAAGTTGCATAGTTAAAAGTTCTGCTTTAAGCCAGATTAGAGCTGGACTGGGTTCCGTGTCCTAATAGGCATTTGGTCTTTTGATATGTGCCTGGATCCTTTATCCTGCTTAAAATGGAAATTTTGTTCACAGTATTATAATTGTCATAATTCCTTTCCCTTTTGAGTCTAATTCATAATGTGTAAAGGGATGCTCCCACGTGGCCTGCACTTCGGAGACTTCCAGCCCTTCACCCCGTTTTCTTTTGTTCCTGTCCCTGCACGAATACTAAAACGTGTCTGTGAGTAACGCCTGCGACATCCTCCTGTGCACCATGGAAGGTGCACCTGTGTGCCCTGTCCTTGTTATTTGGCCCTAAGCACTCTGACTTTACCCCAGTTTCCGTGCCTTGTGGCGCCTCCCCCCACCCAGCACACAGCCATGGTGGGCCCTGAGGTACCGTGGACCTTCGCAGGCTGCATGGACTCGGTGTGTCGCACACTCACGTGGACGCTGTGACACACCTCCCTTAGCCGTCACAACACTCCTTCTCATCGGCTTCTGGGTCAGGGGACAACAAAAGCTTCTCTCCACTCGGTGCAGGCTGGGCCGTGTGGGCCTGAGCTGAGCCTCCCGGAGGGCCTGGCCTGCCCTGCGCCTGTGGAGGGACTGCTTGGCACTGAGCCCGCAGAGTCCCAGCCCCTGCTCTGGCCACTTCCTTCCCCAGATCCCCTGCTTCTGAGTTTCTTTTGACAAAAGCCCTCTGTAGAATGCAGGCAAGATGAACGCATCCTCGTGGCCGGCTTGCTCAGCGGAGAGCAGTACTTGGCAGCTGCCCACACTCACGGAGACATTGAAGTCGCCTCACCATGGAGTGACGGCAGCTGACATCCGCCTGCTCCAGGCACGGCTCCCCAGACTGCACTGCAGGGTGCGGACCCCATCCACACACGGGAAAGGATGGCAGCTTTTAGGGAACACTTCAAAGATGTGTCTTTCTCTTTTGCTTCTTGCCTCCTTCAGAAGTTTCCTACTTTCTTTTATTCTTCATTTCCAATCTAAGCCGCACAAACTTGTTTTCTCCAAGAAGTAGGACAGTTTTAACTTCATGACATCCTAAACTCTTGGCCAGCTTGGTTTTCATGCTCAACCATAAAAGTGGAGGACTTTTGCCAGCCAGGGCTGAGTGCAGAGCTCACTCTGCCTTTCCCATGCTACAGTGGACACAGCGGCTGAGATTTCTGGGCCTCGGTTTGCCCGCCTGTAAAACTCTGATGATAATAACAGTTGCCTGGTTGGCTGATTCCAAGACAAAAACTAGCAAACCGGATCTGACGGGAGCTGTCTGGCCTACACTGTGCCCATCCAGAACTATTATTTATTCTTTTCTTTTCTGTCAGAAAGTTTTCCCCCAGTTGGTGAAACTGTTTTTCTTTTACAGTTTCAATTTTATTGAATACTTCTAGGTTTTCTCCTCTTCCTTCCCGATGTATCTTCTAACTTTTTCACTGACCTATGGTTCCTTTGATATGTGACAACACATTGTACTTGAAATTCCTCCGCTTCTTCGTGTAGACTACACAACCATGTAAGCATCATCTTTCATTTTTCTCAATTTAAGACGCATAATATATTGGATATAAATAGCAGCAATACAAAGTGAACCTTTTCTCATATTACTATTAGTATTATCAGTGTATGACCAAGTTAGTAATGTAATTATATAGATTTATGCAGAAACTAATCTATTTGGATTAGTTCTATGCAAACGTTTAAACAAATTAAAAGTTTCCCAATAAATGCTGCAACATGCTGGGGATTTAGCTCAGTGGTTCTGGCACTTACCTCACAAGCATAAGGACCTGAGTTCCATCCCTGGTACCAAAACAAACAAACAAACAAATGCTGTAACAAAAGAGTGATTTCTCTGAGGCACCCTGGTGCTGATTTTCTTCTCAGGCATCAGCTATAGCTTGTTTGGTACCCAGTTCAGGAGGATCCCAGGGAGACCGGTCAGTTGCACAACCTCTGGTGTATCGCACTGAGCCAGGCTGTTGGCTTGAACTTTGAGAGTTGCAGTGGAGTTGATCAGATTGGTGTCTTAATAGTGCTAGCGATTTGCATTGCTTGCATCACGTAATTGAAAATAATCATTTCCTAAACTTATAAACTGCTCATACTACTGTATTACAATCCAGCCAGCGGTGTAAGCAACTTTCAAAGCCTGTTGATTATTTCTATCACTGTTGATTTCTTCCTTGATAGAGTCATAGTTAACTTGTGGATGACATATAATGTATTTCCAGCCTTGCACTTGAAGTTGCAGTACTTTTAATGACAACTGCACAAAACTGTTGCTGTGAAAGTGTGTATTAGTCACCATTCTAAGACTTGTGCCTACCAATGTCTGTGGTATGGTGCTTGCCATATTAGTATTTCACAAATACATAGGCCTGTGGGCATCAACTCATGGACAAAGATCACAAAGCCAGTTGTGGCAGAGGCAAAACTGAACCAAGGTCTGTGGTAATCCCAAATTCATTCTCTCTGCACTATGCTGCCATCTGGTAGACAATTAAAATTACAATTGCTCGATAAGCATTGGTTTCACAAACCTGTTTATGAGTTTTGCGCACTTCTGTGTCCTTCCTAGGCGCCCATATTCAGTTCCTGAATTTCTCCACCGAGGCGAACCATGACTACCTTGAGGTCCAGAACGGGCCCGCCCCCAGCAGCCCAATGATTGGGCAGTTCAGCGGCACCGACCTGCCCGTGGCCCTGCTCAGCACCACGCACGAGACGCTCATCCGCTTCTACAGCGACCACTCGCAGAACCGGCAGGGGTTCAAACTCTCCTACCAAGGTACGGGACCCCCACGGACCCCGCTTTTCATGCGCGATCTTGCTGAAGTGTTAACCCCGCCAGGCGGCTGGGTCGGCTTGGGGGCGCCCTGCGGTCAGATCGGCGTGAAGCCTGTTTGTCCTTAGCACTGCTCTCAGGACAGTGCTTGACGAAGGGGCTGGCTGGCACCCGACCTCTCCCCCGCTGTCCTGTCCCCCACCCTCACTCCTCTGCGGCCAGCATGGCCCACCTGTCCCTGCGCCACAGGCCCTCATCCACCTCGAGAGAAGCTGGCTGTGTCCCGTGGTACACTGCGTCCCACACTGGACAGCTGTGTGTCTGCTCGAGTCGTGCTCAGGTTAGGCCACAGGAAAGGTGTGAGCTCATCCTGTTTTCATCTAGCCAAGTACATGATCTCTAAGAAAACGGAATCAAGGGTTATCAAAACATTTCTGACTTGGGAAGGAGTTCAACTTTTCGTTTCATACAAAATAATTTAGTTGCCCTTTTCTTGAAAATCATTAAATTGAATGAAGTTGAAAATGTCAGACCTAGGGCTTTTCCTTTTTTAAGATAGCTAAATCATGGCATTGCTAGGTTTTATAGACTGTCCTCAAAAACAGCTTTCCACTTTTATTACTGGAAGAGGCAAGTATTTCCTGCTGGACTCTCAGGCACGTTTCTGAAATTCCCACACAAACAAAAGCTCGGACTGAGGCATCCAGACCGTGGATCCAGTTCATGGGCACAGGCAGCAGGTGGCAGAAAACGGTGGAGACCCAGAGCCCCGGAGCCCCACCGGCATCTGCGAGAGATGGGGGGCACTGGGCCTACACGATGCTCTGGGAGATCTCCTCCTCGGGGTGTGCACCGCTCCCTGAGTGACCGTATTGCACACCCAGGCACACACATGCACCTGTGCACACGTTCACACACAGCACACGTGTGCTATGTTATGCAGAACTTCAAATAGGAAGCAGCTTCTATGACAGAGGTGTGGAGGTTGCTGGCATGTGCTCTCTCTCTCTCTCTCTCTCTCTCTCTCATATGCACACACACACACACACACACACACACACACACACACACATGCACGTGGAGTAATGCGGCTCTACTGTGCCATCAGCGGTCAGAGGAGCCTCTGTTCTGTGCTCACCCCCATCCCGCTCCATGCCTGCAGGGCTCAGTGAGCTCCACAGCTCTGGCCCACCATCCTCTGTGCCCCGGAAGAGCCCTGGGAGCCAGGCCCTCTCTGCCCTCACACCCTCAGTCACCTCAGACTTGACATCTGCTGTTGTACCCCACTCCGCCCAACTCCAGGACGGCCCCATCTCCTGCCAGCTCCTGGGGAGAAGCAGTTCTCCCTGGGTTTACCCTGTGTGGAGGTCACTGGTGCCATTGCCTCCCTCAGGACTCTGGTGCGGGTCTGATGCCCTTTGAGATTTAGTGTGGCAGTTGACCGCCTGTGGCTGGACAGATCTGGGTGGTTGTACTTGGGGTGGGGGCTCAAGGGTGAGGTTGGGACTGCTTGCAGGGTGACTGGCTGAGACCTCGCCTTCTAGGATGAGCTGGCTGAGGGACAGGCTCGACCCAGGCTTCCTCAGTCAGGGCTGCGGTGCATGAACTCATGAGTGACCTCTTCCAGACAGGTGACTGCCCATCTGCCTGCCCCAGGCTCTGCTCAGTTCTGGGCACAGTGGGCAGGGCACGGCTGGGACCTGGGCACCCAGTGCTATGGGCTTGTGCCCTCGTGCCAGGTTGTACTCTTGTTTCCTATCGGAACCAAGGCTATTTCAGACATTGGCAGCTTAGCTCCACACAGACAGCCACAAGCACCATTAGTCAGGCCTCAGGCAGCTGTCAGGTGGGGCTTCCTTCCGGGACTGAGCTTTAAAGCAAGGGTGGGTGTTTGGTGAGGCTGGTGGGGTTTCCATTAGGAGCAGGGAGCCTGACCCGCAGGACCACCTCAGGCCCTGGTTGTCCTTATGCAGAGCTCCTGAGACTGGAGCTTTAGGCCCCGGTCTGTCCTTTTCATCCCTCTTTCTTTCTGTTCTGCTCCCTCCGTGAGTCCCAGAGCAGGACCTGATGCCCGGGCAGGTGGGCAGGTGGCTGAGGGACAGGTTTGGCAGGGAGGTGAGCTGTGCATGAGAAAGAGGGCGGTGCTGGGCATCCAGCCTCTGCCTGTCAGGAGGACCTCTGCTCAGGTGCTCCTGGGTGCACAGGCACTAAGGTGCCCTGCCCCTCTGCTCAGACCCTGCACCCCAGATCTCATTGGCTGTCCCTACCAGAAGCAGCCAGCCTCCCTTCCTTTGCTTGGTGTCAGTGCAGTCGGGGGTTGAACTAAGGCCTACAGAGACCCTGGGCCCTGCTTCTGCCCCCTCGGCCACACCCACCCCAGGGTGTGGAGCACAGTCCCTGTCCCAGCCCGAGGACAGATGTGCAGACTAAAGAGGAAGAAGGAACTCGAGAGAGCAGCAGAGAAACTAGGGGTGCATGCAGCCCTAAGAACATGACAAGAGTCGCACACTGCCCTGAAGTCCCACCTTTTCCATGAGCACTTGGTCTGGAACGTGTGAGGGTCAGGGGGCAGCTCTGTCCTCTGACTTCCCCACCACCTTGTTTTCACCCAGCAAAGCTACCTGTGACTATTGGAAATTCAGTTTTAGGGTTTGCAGAATCAACTCCAAAGACACTAAGATGCCGCCAGAAAACAAACAGCATAAGAATCAAGACTCAGATAAGGCGAAAGCTAGGTCACAGGAGCATCCCTGTCATGTTCAGGGATAACAAAAACTGCCACAGTCATAACACAGCCTCGGCCACCCCAGGTGGGGGGACAGGCAGGGTCCTGGGGCCAGAGCTGCTGCTTGTGACCACTGTTTCCTTTGGGGACGGTCAGGACTTGGATGCTGCTTCTGCTGTGAGCCACACTCGGGCCACAGGTGCCCAGCAGGTGACCAGAATCAGAGCAAGGCTTGCCATTCTCTGCAGACCCTCAGTTACTGTGAGCCTGGCCAGGCCCCTTCTCACTCTGTGTGGCACTGGAAGGGGGTTACAGACGTTCCGCTCCACCCGCAAGCCCCAGCCATCACCCCAAACCTATTGTCAGCCTCCTCCCTGCACCACAGGTCCCTGCAAGGCCGCGCTTTCCCTGTGTGTGTGTGCTCCCATCTCTGGGTGCCCTCAGCCTGGGTATGGAGGGACTCACTGCCTGGAGAGCAGGCTGTGTTGTCGCCTCGAAGCCCTCCTGTTGCAGATGTTTTGCTTGTGTTTTTGTATCCACACCTCCTCTCTCAGGAGGAACCAGGGCTGCACCCCAGAGCTGAGAGGTGTGTGGGCAGGGATGCGTGCCCATCCCCAGCAGGCACTTTCTCAGCTCTCCCTGCAGCTGAAGGAACCAAACCCTTTCAGGCTAGAAATCCCATCTGATCTAAGGAGGACTCGGTAAGGGCTCAGATGTCCGCACTTGCTTTGTAGTTGTTGTCCTGACTGTTTTCGAGAGAAGCCGCCCACGCTGTGGAAAGGCTGTGTGCAGGGAACAATCGAATGTTAGGCAGGAAGAGCCCAGCAGTCACGTTAGCGGCGGGCTCTGCACTTCTCTCTCGAGCACCTGTCCCTGCTCCTGCTCGCCCTCTGCTCGAGCACTGTCTGCTGCCTCAGGAACATTCATCTTTTCATTCCCGATCACCGTTTGAACTCGGTTACCACATGGTAGCTCTCCCTTTAAGTTCTCGCAATACTAGGGTCCAAGTCAGTGAGAAAAGCCTGAAACAATGGTGAGCTCCAACCGTTCACTGCCAAGGAGCCGGCCAGTCTCAGCCGAGGACCGGCCCCACGTGGAGCGCCCTCAGTCTGGGTACAGACCCTCACTTTTCTGCGGACACAGCAGAAGCCCACACGCACGCTCCGGCTTTCACAGAGTGTTCCTTGTGGATTATCTTGCATAATCTCTAACACCTGTGAGTAAAGAGGAATCCATGTGTAGTGATTCTCTTCCAGTGCTTTCTAGGCAGTTTTGTCTATGGAGTTCCAAAAAGCTACTGATTATTTTAGTCTAACAAGAATAGTTTACACACTGATGCCATGAAAAGTCTGCGAGAGTTTTCCAGCGCAGAGGCCACACTGCCGGCGTGTGTCGTTAGCCGTCACCTGGTCCCCGAAGCCTGCTGAGCTCTGTCCCTTTCCCTCCTTCATCGTCAGGACTAGAAGCACCTGACCCAGGATCCCAGATGGGCGAGTCCCACGTTGATGGCCCCTGGCAGGACTGCCAGGGCCCTTTGTGACTTTGGGACATCTGGGTCCCAGAGTCCTTCTCTGGAGCAAACACTTAGTTGGTTGAATAAAGGCTGAAACCAGACTCTAAGAATCTACATTAAAAAGTCACTAAGCAACATATTTTTACCATAGTTAATTTGTTTAACCGAGGCATTTGAAAATCAATTAAACAAAAAGAGAACATAAACTTCAGGTGTTCTAATGTTTTGTTGTAGGCTATCATATCAGACAAGGATGAATGATTAGTTTACCAGCACTTGTCATGTTATAGAGATTATAAATTGACAGAATGACACTTGATTCTGATTTGTAAGTCACTTATAAAATACTCCAAGATTATACTTATGATTTGTAAGCTGAGGTTATAATGAGTAACTCAGAAGGAGAAGAATAAATCATGCAGATGATTCTTGTCACTCACAATGATGCCTAGTTGTGCACCTTATTTTTAAACTATGTCATTTATTTATGACCATATGAAGTTTAAAATGCTACCAGTCCTCTTGCTGTCTTGAAGTTAAATGACTAACAAGAACTTTGTTAAATTAAATAAATTTAACGTGCACCGTATTTCTAAGTCAAGTACTGGAAAACAGTTGATAATGTAAAGATGTTTATCAACTGAGTAAATGTTAACCTGAAAATCTGAAGACATTGGAAAGATGAATCTGTTGTCTCATTTCACGTTAAGCACTGATGATTCAAGACTTTAGGTAAGGACCCTATAAGACTGATATGTGTAAACA